AAAGTTTGAAATTTCCGTCCGTTATCGAACCAGTATTTAAGTGATATTTTCGAATGTGAGAATTAGGTGATTAACATAGTACTTAATGCATAGATAAACAGTTGAACATGTTAATTGAATACGCTAATTACACCATTATATTTACGTATAGATTTGGTTTATACAGTATGTAAACATAGACAATTTTTGCAACAAATTATTCGGATTATGTTTAATGAAGAAGAAAATAATAGAGGCGCTATTTTTAGTTTTTTTTCTGATGTTCATTCGTTAGTCTAAAACAGTAACCGAATGGACTGGTTCAAAGGGAAAAACAAGGGCAGACCAATAGAGCGATGGGCCGACATAATCGAAATGGTAGCTGGAAAAAATTGAATGACGATGGCACAAAATAAAATAGGGGTGGAAAAAGTTGGAGGAGCCCTTCTCACGGTCAGGGGCCGCATCTTAGAGTAAACATTTTATTTATATCTTTTATTGTTAAATGTTTGTCAATAATATGTAAATGAATAAAGGCTTATTATTATTATATAATAGTTGATATCACAGATATGTACAATTCTAGCAAAGGTATTTTGTTAGAATGATTCAAACCAATTAAAGTTGATTGGTCATAATTACGTATTGGTTCTGTCTGGTGGGCCAGACGGTGACCAGGGTGAGCGAGCTTTTCAGATTTTACCACGCTCCTTCGTTCTGTTTTAGGCGGCACGATTCCTTTTGACTTGGGGATTCCAGTCGAGAAATAGTTTGTTACTTCCTATGAGAACGTAGAGGCGACTGGGACTTGGAGAATCTTCATCTTCATCATGCATCCAGGTGTTAATATGCTGCTGATCGTTTCCGACCCTAGAGAGATGATCATACCAGCTATCTCACATATGGTTGTTGGTGATTTAATACAATAGTTCTCCTTCATATGTGTATAAGAAGAAGAGAGAGTTTGTAAAATTATACAAACATGCAAAGCAATATTCCATATAGTTTCAATGAGGTACAAGAAAATCCTTAATCTGAAATGTTGACGTAACGAGAACTCATCGGAAGTTCATTTAATCGTGAATTCTCTCAAAGACGTTTTAATTTCGCATCGAACTGCTATCGCGCTGCCGGATAAAGGATTTGAATTTTATATTCATTTGGAATTTCTTTTCAAAATTTAAATGGTTCAGTTGGCCAGTAATGAGCTTGAAGTTCTCTACCCGCTTTATAAAAACTAAACCTTTTTGTTTCTTTCTGTCAAGTTCTGCCTACTCTATGATAAAAATGGACCGAGGAGTGCATAAGATAAGTTAAAATTTATTGTATACCTAATAATTAGGGAACTCGTCTTTTAGCTGCCGTTTTTATAACTAGCTTTGACTTTGAATAAATCGCGTGATAGACTAAATAGTACAGATTTGTTTTCAATTGACGAACCCGGCGAAGGCGTGGACCTTTACTTAGTACTTCGCTCACTCCAGTGAGCTTCCGATTGACAACCCTGCGACGGCCCAAGCCGAGGTCTGAGTCTCACAGGAGACGCCCTTGCGCTAGCTGCGAGAAAACCCCCATTCAGGCTGAACTACGCTCGCCAAAACAGCCCGAGCTGAGCTGTAAAGGCCCTTAAGGCCAACAGCTAGATTCCTTCCAAAAAGAAAACAATTGACGATTAAAAAAAATTGAAACATGCTAATGACATCATATATAAAAAAACCTTCAACGCGAAGAATGTTGAAGATTTTGTAAACAATTAATCATATAATCACAGGTATATTCAAATGTAAAGATAATTTGAATAATTCGAACTTCTTTGCGTATTATGAACATCACAGGGGTAATTTTCTGAAAATTCACTCCTTATTACGCGTATAATAACTAGGTATATTAAATAATTGATAGTTTTCGTTTTAACAATATGACATTAATTATTTATAAATGCAATTTAGATTTTATTAAGAAAGCAGTCTTGCGTGTTGATCTGATCAATTTTAATGAACAACTGGTTTCTAGTCTTCTACTTAAGTTTTAAGCGAAATGGCAGAGTACTCTATATGTTATATGTATATTATATAGTACATTATATGTTTTTAGGGTTGAAACATACTGTAATTGCGTGTTGTTCCTACCAGAATGTAAGTGCGTGCTACTATTTCACCATGCCTCCTGCTGATAGAGGACAAATCTTTGTTATTAATTTATTTTATTACTTAAGATGTCACGTGGAACATGGTGCAATGGTTGCAGCTCCTCACAAACGTTGTGTAAAACAAAAAACTTGGCGATTAAAAAGAGTGGCGGAGAGTTTATAGCTATTCTCTTCCGTTCTACGCCCTAGATTTGAGAACTGCCAGTAAATGTAAAATTAGAAGCATTTACTATATATTTCTTTTTTGACGTTCATAAGTGTACATTGTGTTACCTATATGAATAATTGATTTTTGACTTGACTTACAAATTCTTAACCTAACTCAAAATACAGCGAGGAGATACTTCCGAATATCAATCCACGTCGTGTGTCAGGCCGCCTTTGTGAGTATATAATCAACAAAATATATGCTGGCTTATTAAATCGTTTTATATAAGACAATAGGTGAATAGCAAAATAAACTCTCAACATTGACGATCGATAACCATTAAGGCAACATATTCTGTACAATTTATTACTGGTGGAAATAATTTCTTACTGAAAACGGAACCTGACCCGTCCCGTCCCTTGATATATGAACAATAATATGCTATAAAGGACGTGCCTGGAAAGTCAGGACGACGTTATAGGCTTAGTAAGGGGAAAAAATTAAGAAATATTTTTACGACCCACGGCTTCGAACGGCATCTTAAAAATTCAGTTTTATTACACAACCTTATTTAACAGACCAACTCATGAATTGTTAGTTATTTTATAGTGCAATTTTGACCCAGAAAATTCCTGAATAAAATTATAAAAACGTATCCCTAACATAATTCAGGAATTATTGTGCTGTAAGTGCCCTTTCACAAGTATAGGCATTGTTTTAATGGTTCAGTTTTGCTGTAGTTTTACTCATTATTTAAGTGCGTGTAATGTACGAAAACTCAGTTTCTAGTGATTTATTGTCCGCTACTATGGATACAGATTAACTGCCTATATCAAATAATTACTGTTATTAATTAGGATTTTAAGCTATCAAATGTACATATAAAATACTATACATAACAACAAGAATTAAAACAAATAATTTTTCAAAAACAGGAAGTAGTTTCTACCTCGCCCGCTATTGAATATATTGATTGTGTGGCCATCGCGATAGAATGTATACGTATTCGAGCAAAACGTACCCTATGTTTTCTTCTTTTCCGTTTCCGGTCAATGGTAACCTCATTTGGAATGGATAGGATTGCAATGGTTATCATAATTTCATAGAAATATTTACGTCATATAATATATATAAGTCCATCGACAAATGGGGTAGACAAATTAAAATTTAATGAATTGATGCCTACAAATTCAAATTTAATGACGTGGAATAAGTGATACGTGTATCTTATGTTCCATAATAAACATATTTTATTTTATTTTTATTTTTTTATTTTACACAATATGTCTGCAACTACTGATGATTATAAGTTACGACGGTGGCATTTATAAATACATAGAGGCTTGTCATAATGTATCTAATGAAAGATCTATCTAGACCGGCTTCGCACTTGCGAAGCTTCTGGCAATGTGAGTGTCTATGGGCATCCCTTAACATCCAGTGAGCCCGTTTGCCCCCTGTTATATAAAAACTAACGTATCGTACTTATTCTGAAACGTGAATAGTAGTCTGAAATTTTAGCAGTCAAGTCAGAAAATTGTAGGAAAAAACTAAAATATTAATTTATATAAACATTTAAACTGTCAGGTCACAATCATAACTATTCTGTCAAAAAACACGACCGTCAGTTTTAATGTTACACATAAAGCCAATTAGTTTGATTGATCTGGAATCTCTAAATGCCTGTTGGCTTAAGACAATACAAACGCAACGGTTTCTTGAAAAGCCCACAAACACAGAATTGTATCATTTGTTGCTCATTGTTTTATGAGAAAATATCAATTGAGCGTATGCCCCCGACCACCTGCGAAAATATAAATCAAAATACTCTAAGGAATATCGTGTAAATACTTTCTTTAATATTCTTGTAGTTTTAGAATTTCAACTTCGTTTCAAATTATTAAAATTAACATCATAAGATCAGCTATTGGTGGCGATGTTCCAAGCTTCATAATAGTTAAGTACTTTTATGGTCACTTAAAAGTAAATGATGATCTGATATTGAGTATTTTGTTAAATAATAAATGAAAGGGATTAGAAAAAATCTGAAGCGAAAAGGGTTTTGTATTCTACTTACGTTATATGAGTAAAGAAATAAATAAACGTTTTTATACTACTAACGACATCTATTATTTTTTAGTTTTTTTAGTTTCGCTACGCACCGTTAGGTGGCATGATATTAAAAATTTTCACCTCGGCTACTCACTCATAGATGACACCATTTCTATATCTTCAAAAACTATTTGCAATAATTTTTTATACAATTACTAGCTGACCGAGCAAACGTTGTTTTTCCATGTATATTATTTCAAGAAAACATTTTTTTAGGTCAATAAAAATAACTAACCACTATAATAAAAGAAACGGTTGATTGTAAAGGGTTGTAAAATTTAGGGGTGGGACCAGCCTTAATATATAGGGGCATGAAAAATATATGTTGTCCGATTCTCAGACTTACTGAATATCCATAAAACAATTCATGAGAATAGGTCGAGCTGTTTCGGAGGAGTATGGGAATGAACATTGTGACACGAGAATTTTATATATATAGAAATATAATTAAAACATACATAAAGAGCATAGACCAAAAGTAATATATTTTACAGAATATTATAACGCCTACAGGGACCCAGGACTCTTATAGCGATAGTCACATATTATGTTAAAATTCGCCAGAATCGAAACCTTTCATTAATATTTGAAATTTTTTTTTCAGGTTATCAAATGACACGCAAGTCATGCACGGCTGGAGGGGCGCGAGGTGCTTGCATGTGGGTGCAGGAGTGCAATCGAGTTGGAGGGAGACATGCCGGTGTATGTGTGGACGGATTTATGTTCGGGTCCTGCTGCAGGCTACCCGACAAACCTATTATTATAGAAGGTACTATCTCACAATAAAATGTTTAAAGTAGTAACGATACAAGTCATGGGATTTGTCGATGCTATTTCGCACAATGTTGTACTTCACAGTGTAAGTGTTAATGATGCAAATGGAAAGAATTTTTTTTCCCGTGATTCAAAGGACGACCTCAAGATTAAGGCACTAGTTTTTTTAAGCAATTACCGTAGTTGTAATTAAATTCGACTTTATTTGTATTTCTTGTCAGTTACAATTATTAGTATTAATTAAAGTCGTGTGAAATCTATTACTACCACTACCGATTAAATTACTATACTTTATTAAATAAGAAATATTGACTTCCAGAAACCCAAAGCCCAGTAACAATAACGGAACGGCCGTATACAGCGCCACCTACCGATACAACGCAGACGACGCCAAGACCTACAACACAAACACAGCGCCCTTCGTTCATGACCAAACCTATAGATGGCGCGCCACACAGCTATAGGCCTCCAGAAATTAACTTGCCAGTCGGCAATCTAGAATCAATTAGCGAACAAAATAGTGATATAGTTAATAAAATAACATATAACAGTGTAAATAAGTACCAAAATGTAAATAGGCCGAACAATGATGTGGAAGCTAGTCCCCACAATAAAATATCTTCTAGTCTTAGTTTAATACCTGGAGCTCGACCGATGGCGGTGTCTGATCAAAATCTAGACAACAGTATTCCTGCAGGTGAGTTATTATAAGTTCATTGCATTTACGATAGATGCCAATATTGTATTTGAACGTATTTGCTGTTTCGGAACTCCAAGACAATTATGGTAATAATAATAATAATAATAAAGTTTATTTGCATTGGATTTTACGGCTTTACATGCTGCAAGTGTTGGCCATTTTTGTGAGAGGCTATTGCCATAATAGGACTATAGAAGTCCTCTGGTATCAGATCACCAGCCTTCCATCGCCCTCAGAAAAATACTTAAGCCTTCATACTGTGACTAAAAATAGCAAATAAAATAACAGAGAAATATATTACAAACAATATATATATATATATATATAATATTTATATACATAATGTTTGTAATAAATGTTATGTCTATGTCTAGATACTTGGATACAGTGTATCGTATAAAATGTCGGGAGCTACTCGGATACTGGCACAGTGAAATACGGTTTTTTAGCTACAATTGGATCTTTGACGTAATAAATGAATAATTTAATGAAAGCTAAAAGGGAAGGATATACTTATAATGTATTATATATGTATATGAGATCTACTTTGTTATTTTTTGATAAATAAAGATGTTATTATGAAGTATGTGCGAGCTTAAATACGATTGCAAAAAAGACTTAGCTGTGCAAACATTTGCATACTTGACACAATCATGAGTAATAAATATTAATTTCCAAATATACATTTTCAGTCCACATGTCCAGACCGAACAATGTCAACACAATGCACTGGCAAGCGACCACTGAACCCAGCTTCATAACGAAACCACGACCTAACTGGGAGAAACCGGGAAAACCGAAGCCGACCAAGAAGTTCACAACCACAACGAGTAAACCTCACAAGAATTACCAGAAACCGAAAGATCCAATGCTGAATATGATCAACAAAACTGAAGATACCACAGCACCTTCTATACAGACTACTGCTGCTACTACAAGTGTTGGTTCGTATTTCTTTTTATCAATTTCCCATGATACTTCGGTGGCCGTAAACTAACTCTCAGTAATGAAACAGTGCCATCTATAATCTATCAATCACGATGACGTTATACTCAACTCACGTTACGCTCACGAAGATATTCCCACCAAGGCTGTATTCAACTTTTAGATTTTCGCTACTGAGGCCTTCAGGCCAATCAGTCTTACTCTCCACTCTCCTTTCTCCAGAAAACCAATATTGAAGTGGCAAAATTACGATTAAGAGTTACTTATTTTTCTTGATTTGGTTATGCAATTCTTGCACTTTTCCCTTAATCTTTCTTTTTTTTCTTACTAGGGTTGCCTGGAAGAGATAGCTTGTTAGCGACAAAACCGTCCGTTGCATCCCTAATAATTTATGTTATTTATTTTATTTTAATGGTACGAATTTTTAATAGATAATAAGTTACTATGATAAAAATGCCATCTGTTTTATATAAAATGAAATTATTAGTTTCTTATGGCGCGTCTAAACGGGCCATGTTTTGCTGCAATTGATGGCTGCACTGTTGGCCACTAATTGCCCGGCCATTACAAAAATATTTTAATGCAGCTGATGGCCGAACAATCTATGGCTGGGCAATGTGTTGCAATAGTATGGCCCATGATGCAGACTCCTAAACGGGCTACACAAACCGGCAACAATGGCTGACGAAATCACACTTGTCGCAGCAGCTTATATTGTTTTAAAAAAGAAACAGAAAAAGAAGAGATTGTGGATTCGACCTTACTTAAATAGGCGTGAAACTGTAGACAATTTGAGTCTAGAAATAAGTCTTGATAATAAATTATTCAAGAACTAGAATGTCAAAAGTAGTCATTTTTACGTAGTAATCTAACGTCAAATACAGCTGATCGCAAAACACAGAATAAAGCAACAGGCACACTTCACTCAAAGCAAATGTCATGTCGCGTAGAAAAGGATACACTATGCCATAGCAAAGAGAGTGACTGAAACAACAAGAGAACTGGCCGTGCAATATTGCAGTTGAATTCGATAGCCTAGCGATCGTCCGGCCACCTATCGGGGCAACATCGGCCATATGTGGCTATACAAAACATGTTTGGCTATATGGCCGGTACATTACTGCAATATTGCATAGTGTGGCTGCTATTGTTTGCAATGTTGCCGGCCACAGTGTTGCAGCCATCAATTGCAGCAAAAGCAGTTTGGCCCGTTTAGACGCGCGATTATGCAAATTCCGCCAACTATACTTGGTGTTAGCTAACTTTTCACACATCAGCGCCATCTGAATTGGTATTGAGGGCACAAGGCCGCTACTTTGTACCTTCCAACAGCGACAGCAATACAGATCCCGACGTTTTTGTTTGCAAGTCCGATGTAGTTCCCTCAATATCCGTGGCGCTAATATCGCAAACATGGACTGCACGGTGAAAATTTAACATTGCGGTCCCAACAGCTTCACACGCCACATTTCAAAACTAATCCCTAATATTGTATGTATACGTTTAATGAAAATATTTACAAAAATGTGCAATACCATGAGGGTAAAAAAATTGTATTAGTTACAATAAGTTCATGTAAAAAGAGTTTTATACCTAATAGTTAGGACTTATTTTATTTGAGTTGTACATAATATATTTAGTTTTAAAACGGGTTTGTCAGCCTGACTATACAGTGCACGCGTGGGACCGAATTGCACAAAAGATAGCTGTGAGCATAATAATATAAAAAATAAATCAATTATTCTTGTGTGATATAAAGACTTTGAAATGTTAAGTGTACGTATGCACAACGAACGTACAGACTACGCGTAGAGTATTTCAGTAGCTCTGTTCAATAAAATAAATCAGGGGCGCTACAACCTTTTTACGTCTGGGCCTCAGATTTCTGTAACTGTGTCATGATCATTTGTCAATCTAATAGGCGAGTTGGTGATCAGCCTCCTGTGCCTGACAGACGTCGTCGACTTTTTGGGTCTAAGGCAAGTCGGTTTCCTCACGATGTTTTCCTACACCGTTCGAGCGAATGTTAAATGCGCACACAGAAAGAAAATCCATTGGTGCACAGCCGGGGATCGAGCCTACGACCTTAGGGATGAGAGTCGCACGCTGAAGCTACTAGACCAACACTGCTCTGTTGTTTTGGTGGTTTTAACTACTGTTTTAAAATTAAGTCCCCGGTCGCATCTGTCTGCCTAAATCAGAGTTTCCCAACGTGGGGCCCGCGCCCCACAGGAGGGCAATTTGATTGTTATGGGTGCTATTCGAAAATTTATTATAATTACTTGGAATTAGAATTTCTGTTTTTATATGTTTTGAAAATTAACTTGCTGAGTTTCGGTTTCCTAGTAATTTCTTCCTCATCATTTAAGCTTCTTAAGAATTTTAGAAAGGTTAAGATGGGGCACGGTACAAAAAAGGTTGGGAAACATTGGTCAAGATTAATTTTAGCTTGGAAAATTGATTTTTGCTAGTAGTATTATTCCTGAGGTATGTAGGTACGTCTTCATGGTTTCATATAAATTGCCAGGAATATAACGATTATTATTGAATAGTTAACAAAAAATCTTACTGGGCAATATTTAAATTGCAGAATGCGGCGTAACAGCGATGTGGCCTCGCCCAGACTCTCGTATAATGGGTGGCAAAGATTCTTCCTTTGGGCGCTGGCCGTGGCAAGTCTCAGTTAGACGGAACTCGTTTTTCGGTTTTTCTTCAACACATCGATGTGGTGGCGCCATCATCAACGAAGGATGGATAGCAACGGCCGGACACTGCGTTGACGAGTGAGTCTGGATTATAGATATTAGACTTGAAAACAGGAATAAACAGTATTTTCATATAATATCAATAGGAATGAATAATCAAATTGTGTCAAACAAAAATCGTTTCTAAGGACGTTTGTGAACGAAATCTTTTTTTAAAATATTGTCGGACACAGCCGGGGCCAGAATGCATGATTTTAAGGTAGAAACATATTATATAAATATAGTATCAATTCACCCAATTATTTGAATACTTGTATGTGAAGATTTTTATTGGCGTACAAAGTTGTTTACAATTAGTACATAATTTAGTTGTAAGCTGTAAATATTCTAAATAAATAAAATTATAAAGGCTAGCCACTTGTTTAACAGTACTTAATAAAATATTAAATTTGGGAGGCGATAAATTACCATAGACAAAATAGAACCAAACGTTTTCTACCAACTGTTTTCGGACATCTTATTAAAGTATTTTTTTATGTTTTTTTACCGCGGGTGCCAATGTCAGCAATAGCTAGTCTAAAGTAATTATAACACCATATTTTATTACATGCAAATATTGAGTTATTTCTATCGACAACTACTATAAAAAAACGATGGTGTTACAACCTTTTTAGGTCTGGGCCTCGGATTTCTGTAGACAAGTAGGTGATCGTCCTGTGCTTGTTATCGGTTTCCTCACGATGTTTTCCATTACCGATCGAGCGAATGTTAAAAGCGCACATAGAAAGAAGGTCCATTGGTGCACAGCCGGGGATTGACCTATGAGAGTCGCATGCTGAAACCTGTAGGCCAACACTTCTCGACAACTACTATTTCTTTTAACTTATATACTAATTAATTAACAGATGCTATTTCTATTTATAAAACTATTTTTCCAGCCTCCTCACCTCAGCTATTCGAATCCGCGTGGGAGAGTTCGACTTCTCATCCGTTTCCGAACAATATCCTTACGTAGAAAGGGGAGTGGCACGAAAAGCGGTTCACCCCAAATACAATTTCTTCACTTATGAGTACGACTTAGCTCTGGTGAAGCTAGATGCATCTGTGCAGTTCGCACCTCACATTTCACCCATATGCTTACCGGCGTCTGATGATTTGCTGGTGGGAGAAACTGCTACCGTCACTGGATGGGGGAGATTATCTGAAGGTGGGGTGCTGCCATCTATATTACAAGAGGTGAGTTAGAAGAAGCTAACATAGACGCTAAAAAAGATAATCCGAATAAATTAAAAAGTTTTTGGTATACGAAATCATCATATACATGATAAAAATAATATAATAATAATAAAGCCTCATTTATTCCATGAAACGTTCATCCTGATTTACCAAAGATACACACTTTAAATTTTATACACAAATACATCGTAAAAATTTTTCAAGGTCCTCCAAAGACTTATTATTGTTATTATTATTATTATTAAAGCTTTATAACCATACAATAATTGGTCAGTTTATATTCCTTTATATGAGTATTAGTTGTGTTAGTATAAGTTTAAAAAAATTAATTAGATTTATTTTTTATTTTTTTAGTGGTCTAGTTTTTGTATGGCCCCTTTTAGGGTAAAAGCCTCCTCCATATTTTTCCATTTCTCTTTGTCTTGAGTAATATTCATCCAGTTTTTCCCCGCTAGTTCTATAATGTCATCTGTCCATCTTTTCTTTTGTCGGCTATAGGCCTCCTCTAACTGGTGCCATCTCTCTCATCTTCTCATCTTGAGCATTTTCCTAATCTACCCTAACTTGTTTAAGCTCATCAGCCACCTATGAGAACATACAAAAATAATATACTGAATAAAAAATGCATCATAATAAATGTTTCACGACTTAAAACCAAATGAGATTTTTTTGACACAAACATAGTCAATGTGCTTTCTATTAAGTTAACAACTTTGCGAAATAATTTAATGAAGCACTCTGATCGAATAAACTTAATTTTAGTGATTAATTTGTATGATTTAGACCTCTAAATTAGGATAATTGGTATCAACAAAAATTTATCTAAAACAGGGTTCGAGATACAATTAAAAAAATACACGCAGTAGATTTTTTGCTTTTTTTGTAATTGGAGGCAAACGGGCAGAAGACTCATCTGATGTTAAGTGATACCGCCGCCCATGGACACTCACATTGCCAGAAGGCTCGGAAGTGCGTTACCGGCCTTTAGATGGTACGTTACGTATTTATTTACACGTAATATTTATCTTAATTTGAAATTATTTCGTAAACGGTTCATTTAAACAAACTCAACCCATTATATTTTTAATTATAATTACAGGTCCAAGTACCAATAGTATCGAACGAGCGTTGTAAGTCAATGTTCCTGCGCGCAGGCAGGCATGAGTTCATTCCTGATATATTCCTCTGTGCCGGCCACGAGACAGGGGGACATGACTCATGCCAAGGGGATTCTGGAGGACCCCTACAGGTAAATACTAGTATAATTCCTTTCACACCATGGAAATGTTTAAAGAATTAAAAAAAGGGTTTGTTTGCTGAAATTGCTGATATGAGGATTGGTCTAAGTGTTATATTATGTTTCATAGTAAATAGACATAAATAAGGAAAATACTATTTCTTAATAGATGTAATCTTTTTCGTAAGTTTAAACACTTTATTCGCACGCTGAAGCCCCTAGGCCAATATTGCTCATAAATAAATAACCTATAATTTCCAGGTGAAAGGAAAGGACCATAGATACTTCTTAGCCGGTATCATCAGTTGGGGAATTGGATGTGGGGAAGCGAATCTACCTGGTGTTTGCACAAGGATATCCAAGTTCGTACCGTGGATACTGCAAACGGTTAACTCGTAGGATTTTTTTTGAGAATTACATAACATTGACAGGAAGCTATTCTAGCAGAATTATTTGTGATAAATTTATTTATTGACGCTTTTAAAGCAGAATTGAAGTAAAACTTTTTTGATGGATTTTATATCCGTATTTCGCTGACCACGACCGAAGAGCACTCAACACGTCAAGTTAAGAACGTCTTATTAAGAAGATTTATTTAAATTAATTTTTGGGAAAAATTGTTTTTTTGTGCCTTGAACAACCAATTTTTGAGAGGTGTTCTCATGTCGGCCGTATTTATTAGTGATTGCAACATTAAGTGATACGTTTGTATAATGACACGAACAATAAAAATGGAATTTAGGATGTACTCATGTGTTCATGTGTAACAGAATTTTACTAAACTAGTACAGTATTTCTCCCTATAACGCCTTTTCGTATAACGAGATTTCCGTCTCCATTTAACGGGGTTTTCTCTCCTATAACGCGGAGATTTCTCATGTGAAATTAATAATGATTTGTCAAGTCTATAATTAATTTTGCGTACTTTTGCACTTGCTTCAATTGCGTTATTATAAAATTAAACTAAATATAATTGAATTCGCGTTCCAAGTTTTTTAATTGTTTAAAAAAACGGTTTTACGAGAATACTGCTACGATGGTCCGCATTATAGGGCGAGATTATTTTATTTTAGTTAAAATATGGCATTTAGACTGCAATTATCAAACTCAAAATACCCCATTCACAAATCAATTAGAAATGTATTATACAAAATGACGTAAAACATTATTATATATTTCATGAGAAATTGAATTTTCGCTTGGGGTGTTAATATAATTAGCGGGACTGAAAACAGAGGGCAATGATAAATCTTCAAAATGTGTACGTCGTAGAGAAAGTGCCGACTTAGCTGTTTCTACAAAACGTTGGAAATACAAATATTTTTTTTTAAATTATTTATATCCAGCCAGTTTGAATGTGAACATTTGAAATTATTTATATGTAGAGCTCTCTAGGAGTTCTAGGAACTGGGTCTCAAATTCTTTTACCTCGTAGATAAAGTTTTGGTGCGTTAAAAAATACCTAGACAAATACGCAGAAGATCTTTAGTGTGATTTAAACCAAAAATATAAACTTCCGTATTCAAGGCTTTTTATTTCAAATCACAATTAACTTGTAATGATAACTTGCTTAAATTTGGATATTCATGATTACGAATTGATATAGTTCAACGACTAGTTTCTATACGTATATCTAGTTTTTTATATTAAATATGTATTTGAAAAACCTTATAAATTCTAAATCAATACACTCCAAATGAAATCTTGACCAGGAAAGAATATACACGAAAATACTGTATTAGTTCAACTTATCGAATACTAAACGACACGGACTGTCACTGTACCACGAACAAAACGTAATGTTGAACGGTTAACGTAATAGAAAAGTAAACCTAATCACGAACGTTACTATTGCGAATATTATTTGTTTTTCAAATTGTATCGAAAATATATAATAAATATATTCTGACCTGACATTATCATTATTATACTTGACGTAGTCTGCTAAGGGAGTATTCAAGTATTACGTAACGAATTTGGGGGGGGGTCCTTTTGTAAAACGTTACGATGCGCAGCGTTATTGTTAACATTATTTTCGACTTTCCAATACTTTGCACCACATCATGGTAAGTTAAAGAGTCATTGGGCGGTCGGGAAACGTTTTACTATTGGGTACAGAAAAACGTAACGGCGCGTTACATGGGGGAGGGGTGGTTAATAATCTCCAAAAATTGCGTGACGTATTACTTGAACGCTCCCTAAGTCAGATGACAGTTACCTTCAAAAATGTTGATTGAATTCAACGTTTTCTGAGGCGTTTTATTAAAAGGACAGTACACCGTAGCTATGCAGAACTCGTTACTGCGAGACACTGTATGTTCGCAAAAGCTAAGCGGTGTCGCACGCTTCTACTTAATAAACGCCTATATACTTTGATTTAAACCGAACTACAAAGGGATGTTACACGAGACCGTACGTTTCATTGTGAATGGACGTCATATCATGTCGTGTCATTTGTCAATGCGTGTTAGAGTATGCTTGGCCAATCACAATCAAACGAAACGTGATACTGTTTCATCTTTTGTTTGACATTCTCAACCCTAAGAAACAAAGTTTACTACATCTGTATAAATTATGCGTGAACGTATTTTAATCTGCAGAGTTAATGTAATCAATCAAGAAATAAAACGAACATCGTTTTAAGCGTGATCGGATTAAGCTGGTTTCAATGTATGTACACCAGATTCTAATTGACATTGATGTATTATTTCAAGTAACGCAAATGACTTATATATTCAAGTCCAGACAAAAATTTATAAAATCTAAATTGTTTAATATTAATTCAACGTTAATTATACTATCAGATAAATTTTCATATAGTTACGTTGACGCTTAGCGGCTTTCCCATTTATTCACACTGAATCGAATTACTTTTATTGAAGCACGTATTCGTCTCTTTCTGTCAAATTGTGATTAAAAGAGACAGAATACTTTATAAAATGTTTTGTCACCCAACTATATGTAACTTCTATGCCTAGTTATTATGTATAAATTATATAATAACTATGCATATAAGTTACATATAGAATATATTTGTAAACCGACACAAAAGCGACAAGGAAGCTTAAGATTTATGATTAAGATATAGTATAAGATCCTCGATCAATTAATTAGATTATACATAAAAAGATGTTTTGCAATGCAATCATGTGCTGAAGCAAAATGTGAATTTTAAGATATAATATTGTAAACTAACATTAAACCATTAGTTATCCATTCTTCGTAATTATGTAAATAAATCTTATTTAAATACATAGAATTAAGTGCTCTTGCCTTTTTTTGTATACAGTATTACTTATGTGCATTGTATATAGATTAATTTAATATTTAGACTTGCTTATGTAATAGATGTGAGCATTACCAAATCACAGTGTAATAATTGCTTATTTTTAGCTTAAAGGTGATGTTTATTATAATATATATTGTTTGAATACATACCGAAGTCTATGATGTTGATTGTTCGTTTATATTGTTAATTATTAAATATCAAGAACAATTATGTATTTTATTTTCCTACATATTACTTTTATATTCCTTTTAAAAGGCCGGCAACGCACTCGCGAGCCCTCTGGCATTGAGAGTGTCCATGGGCGGCGGTGTCACTTAACATCAGGTGAGCCTCCTGCCCGTTTGCCCCCCGTTCTATAAAAAAAAAAACATATTGTCGAGTATAGCTTTCAAAGGTCCGTATATGTGGAAGTGGGAGTCAGGTAGTGCTAATAACTGGGAGGCTCTATTATCGGCAAGGTAACTATTTGGATTGGTACGCACATCAGGGATATTCTCCTTCTAGCTATAAGAAAGAAAATAAGATATCTTACCAACTTAGTTTTATATTATAGAATGTTTCAAAATATAGTGAAGAAACGAAATACAGTCAAGTAAACTATATAAAGTTATATATTAAAATATTCGGTTCGACTTTGGTTCTCTACACATATTTATAATTCAGTTCCAGTATTTTCTATGTATTTGGATATTTCTAAAATTTTCTGTAATTTCTTCTGTTTGGAGCAGTATCCAAAAAATCTTTGATCATCGAAATCTATCCAGCCATTCTTGAATTATCGATGGGATAAGTCATGTTACGTTGATTATTTATATAGATAAAGATAAATATGACCTAGCTTACACTACTCAATATATCTAGGTTTTGGGATATATACAGTTTCTCCAACGTATGGATCTTAATCTCCTCCACCAGCGTGATCGAAAAGTTGTGTTATATATGTTCAAGTTATGACGTCATCGTTGATTGTAGGTCACCAAAAAACCTTCTAGATAATAATTAGCAACGGAAACAAGAGCTCATTACAGAAAAAACCGTAATCCAAAACTAACCAGTGGAAATAAATTCTTCGTTATATGATATATTGAATTGTGGCATCGACTGAAGTTAATATATTTGTGCAAGAAGTCGTTCCTAGGCAACAGACGTTTTTTGTTTTCTGTAAAATATATTCTAATAATTAAAATTACCAAAACCTCGCTAAAGTGTTACCAAATACTAATTTTAAATGATATTGTATGCAAACATGAAATTCAAATTATTTCAAATCAAGTTGATTAATTTTAAACATTCTAATTTAAATGCAATTTGAATTAAAATTCGCCGTGAAACATTTGTGGTTTCCAGTTGAAATAATCTAGTTTCGACCGCTTATAGTCATTAGAGCCGGCCAACACTAATTAGAATCTAATAATTCATAGCAATTTGGTAATTAGTTGGAGATAGCATTGATGAAATTCCCAATGGCCAGCAATGACCATAACTATAATGAATATCTAATTTGAATTAGTGCAATGATATATGGTAAGTTAATTTTAGATTTTGTCTGTTATTATGGCATGAATTGCGAACGTCAAAAACATTTATTGATTTATTTCCCTTATTTCACAATTTTTACAGTAAACTTAATACTAATACAATATAAAACTAGTAATAAAATATATAAAATAAAAATGAAACTAAAAACATCATATAAACAAAACAAGAAAACACCAACCCTGAACCTTTTTATAACTAATTATAAATAATGCAATTCTTGTTAATTCAGCCAGTGTGCAACTAAATATATCCGTCTCACATGCAATAATAATAAGTTTAATAAAATTCCATTTCAAAAGAATGGATGAAGAAAGTAAACGATGGCTTAGATTATGCCCTAAAAGAAAAGTGGCAATGAGGGGAGCAAAAAATAGCAAGATAGACAGATAAAAGGTATATATATAGGATAAAAGGACTTTAAAACCAACAATATGGAAAGGACCAAGGGAAAGAAGGAGAAGAAGGTGCCCCAAAAAAAGGTGGATAGAAAGATATAGAAGATAGAAGAAATAGAAGCGATACAGGAAGCGAATGGAGAAAGAAAGCCATGGACGTAATAAGTTGGAAAAAG